AAAACATTGGTCTGTAGGACACCTGAAACATATTACTAAACAAAACATTGGTCTGTAGGACACCTGAAACATATTACTAAACAAAACATTGGTCTGTAGGACACCTGAAACATATTACTAAATAAAACATTGGTCTGTAGGACACCCTAAAGATATTTCTGTACCAAAACTTCATGCGTATACAGGTTGTTTAGAAAATCTAATTAAAAATTAAGAAATTTATGGGGAAAAAAAGGGTAATCAATAAAATAGGGGATATGGATAGCTCAGTTATGATATTATTCAAATGTTCACTTTAGGGAAGACAAACTAGATGTTTGACATTTCAAAAAGAGAAAAAAATACTGTATTAATTTTTTTGTGTTTTCACGTGTCTGTTGCTAAAATAATGGTACCCACTGCTTTAGAAAATGCTTTTACTAGCGTGTGTGTAGTTACTACTCACAAGAAAGAATCTTGTTATAGCACGTATGTCAAATAGTAACCATTAATCGCTTGTATTATATTGATTTTTACTCTCTAAGTGTTATGTCATGGTGTAATGAGATTGTGTGTAGTGAATAATGTATTCTGGTCATTAACTCACAAATGGCCAGAGGCTGTATTTTGTTCCTTACTTTGGCTGTGTAGAGCATCATGGGTTTTATGAGAGATGACTGCGTGGAGGAAAAGGAGGTTTTCTGTAACTCGTGATTGATTGTTTTTTATTTCTTTTGACTCGTGCTATTGATTTGTTATTTTCTATACGTTGCCATTATTAATGTCACGTGATTGAAAATTATTTATTTTCTGTGACTGTAGACTGTAGTTCGCTTTGATCGTGGTCTTATTTAGTCTATTTTCGATCTATAGATTTTCTGTTTTTTTTTTTTAATTCACGCATTGTTCAGCCACTTGGTGACGCTGGGTCCGTGTAAAAAAAAAAGTAGATGCGAAACATATTGTCGTCATGTTTTTATCTTCTTCGGTATAAACACCCGTACCTGTCATTAAATATAAAAATTCAACATGCTTCACCAAGAAAATAAAACAACGCTGACCAAAAACATATTAAAACAATTGAATCTGTAGTATTTTTATATATATACGGTTCATCATTCTCTCAAAACAGCCACGAGTTTATAGGCAAGAAAGATAAGACACTTTAATTGAATTACTAAACACGCTGGACTGAAGTGTACTTGCTTGATTATTACTCAGAGAAATAGTAGAGTGTGGAGTGAACTTACTGAAATAGTAGAGTATGGAGTGAACTTACTGAAATATAGTAGAGTATGGAGTGAACTTACTGAAATAGTAGAGTTTGGAGTGAACTTACTTAAATAGTAGAGTATGGAGTGAACTTACTGAAATAGTAGAGTATGGAGTGAACTTACTGAAATATAGTAGAGTATGGAGAGAACTTACTGAAATATAGTAGAGTATAGAGAGAACTTACTGAAATAGTAGAGTATGGAGTGAACTTACTGAAATAATAGAGTATGGAGTTAACTTACTGAAATATAGTAGAGTATGGAGTGAACTTACTGAAATATAGTAGAGTATAGAGAGAACTTACTGAAATAGTAGATTATGGAGTGAACTTACTGAAATAGTAGATTATGGAGTGAACTTACTGAAATAGTAGATTATGGAGTGAACTTACTGAAATAGTAGAGTATGGAGTAAACTTACTGAAATAGTAGAGTATGGAGTGAACTTACTGAAATATAGTAGAGTATGGAGAGAACTTACTGAAATATAGTAGAGTATGGAGTGAACTTTCTTGTTTATTAAGCAGAGAAATAGTAGAGTATGGAGTGAACTTTCTTGGTTATTGTATAATCAGTTAAAGTTTCTTCCACAATGGAGATGTAATGCTGGGAATACCGGCGTCAATAAAGATACAACATCCCTTGTTACTAAGTTTATATTTCTTTGTTCTCTCCAAGTTGTAATTTATAAAATTTACATTTCCAGGGAATTCCTCGTGTGATGAAAACCCCATCTGAAGTATATATTTCTTTACCTGTAATCTGTAGCGTTTCGCCTGATAACTTGTTGGTTATATACTTCTATACCTGTAATCTAGCGTTTCGCCTGATAACTTGTTGGGTATATACTTCTATACCCGTAATCTGTAGCGTTTCGCCTGATAACTTGTTGGGCATATACTTCTATACCTGTAATCTAGCGTTTCGCCTGATAACTTGTTGGGTATATACTTCTATACATGTAATCTGTAGCGTTTCGCCTGATAACTTGTTGGGTATATATTTCTATACCTGTAATCTGTAGCGTTTCGCCTGATAACTTGTTGGGTATATATTTCTATACCTGTAATCTGTAGCGTTTCGCCTGATAACTTGTTGGATATATATATATTTCTTTACTTGTAATATGTAGCGTTTCGCCTGATGACTTGTTGGGTATGTATTTTTTTACTTGTAATCTGTAGCGTTTCGCCTGATAACTTGTTGGGTATATATTTCTATACCTGTAATCTGTAGCGTTTCGCCCGATAACTTGTTGGATATATATATTTCTTTACTTGTAATATGTAGCGTTTCACCTGATAACTTGTTGGATATGTATTTCTTTACTTGTAATATGTAGCGTTTCGCCTGATAACTTGTTAGTGATTATCGTGCTCTTACATTTTTTCTTCTCTTGTTTTCCACACAGTCGCCATGACGTCTCAGCCCTCTAACGAGTCAGAGCTACAATTGTATAGAGTCTTACAACGAGCCAACTTACTGTCATATTACGATACCTTTATTTGCCAAGGTAAGTCGATAGAGTACAGCATTGTCAGTGGCTTTTATTAACTTAAGGACATAATTGGCGTATAATAAGAATGTTAAAATCGATATATTGAATGAAGAGGGATGTAGAGTATTAGTAATGTAAATAGTGGTGTAATAAAACCAAGCTAGTGCACTACTTTACACGTGCACGTACACGTAACATTAACAGTCTAATTGGTGACAATGTCTCCTATCCATACCACAAATCGCGTGCTGGTAATAAGTGAGTTCAGCCAATGTTGGGGTAGAAGTAGAAATTAAAACGTTTTTACCAAAAGTACAGTAATTTATAGTTCGTTAAAGATCTTTTGAAATTAGTTTCCAACATTTATACTTTATTTTATATATATACTTACGTCCAGACTTTTATTTTTGAGAAACGCGGTTTGTACAATTAACATTTATATATATATATATCTCCCTCTTCACACGAGTCTGCCTGTATGTTTCTCTTGGCTAGTTCTGTCTGTTTACTTCCCAATGTATCTTTAAAAGATTTGCCTATTTGCCAATATATTTCCATCTCTGTTTGCTTGTCTATATATCTATATATATTTATATGTCTATCATAGATGCGATCATTATATACAATCTTGGAACCTGATTTCATTTAAGTTCTCTTCGTTTCCGTTTTTATGAAGTAAAAACAAAATAGGACTGCCCGTAAATTAAAAAATATTTTTTTTATTACTTACTTTTTTTTCGTATTTTTAACGTTTTCGACAAGCAGTTTTTAAATGATAAATTTTGATAGTACTGTAGCCTGTTAAAGATTGTAAGTTATACCAACGTTTAGAATTAACTGAAATAGGATCATTAACGTCATAGATTTGGTGACATCATTGTTTTAAAAGTAGTTATAACTAGCCCGTTGAAAAACCACGTATGTTATGAAAGTGTAAAATAAACTTATTTCGTCATATGTGGCTGATAATTCCCAGTGCTTAAAGAAAAATTGCAAAAAAAAAAAAATCCTCGTATTAAATTAATAGTATCTGATATATCTAATAGCGTAGCTGTTTTTTTGTATTTATTTTTTACCTTACTGTTCTCTAGGTCTTTTATTTTATGAAACTGTAGGTGATTTTGATCTGTAAATAACTTAAATAAAAATTTATAATAATTACAACTGTTGTCCACGAAATTGATTACATAAATAAAACTTCAACCGTTATTATGTCCATCGTATCTAAGCTGGCCTGAAGAGTCGTGGTATTAATCGAAAGGCCTTGTCGGCGTTGAATATGACACGTGTAGTGTGGTTGACGTATCCGTGTTTATTTTAACTCATATGCTCTTAGAAATATGATATGAGATGAGATATACGTGTTTGTACAAATACCACAAGTTCTACTTTTTTTGCTCCAGGCGTGGCATAGTGGTTAGCTTACCCATACTGTGAATCAGATTGTTCATGGTTCGAGTCCCATTGTCTCTTGGGTGTACTATAAGACTGGTTACATTACACTATTCGGTCATATAAGAGTAGCCCAAGAGCTGGCGGTGGATGCTCTTGACTGGCTACCTTTCCTCTGGTTTTGTGTAGCCTGGCGAGAACAAAAAACGAAACTAAGTCTTTCTTGGTGTAAGACGTTTTATGTACACAAGATTTTTTAGTTAGCGATTGGAAGACATTAAAAGTTCCTGAAAGAGTAAGAAAAAAAACAACAACATATATTATAAATAATAACATGGAAACTTGAGCTCAGGTGTGTCACAAAAGTATGAGATAAGTTTAAGCTATTCTACCTTTAAAAAGTAACAGTTAATTTTGGGAGTAACAGCTGTACAAAGTTACAGGTTATTATAACATCTCGTCAATTGTCATTTTATGAGCTTCACACGCAAAACAATCATTTAAAAATTAACTCATAATTTAAGCAAATTAATATTACAAGGAAAAATTAATACACGAACAATGACTTTGATACTTATATTTAGTGTAGCCACCTTTGGTATCAATAACAGCTTTGCATCTTTATGTCTATGTATTTTTATCAAAGTCTCTGTTGTAATATGATTCCATTCTCCTTGAAGCTGTGTCTAGAATATTTATTTAGAACAATTAGTAGTTTTGTCAAACATGGAGTCCATTAAATCCCAGATTTAAAACGATAAAAAGGTGAACCCTTTTTCTTCTTCAGGGGTAAACTTGGAAAGATGTATACAGTTAATGGGCTTTATTGAAACTATTTCATTCACTGGAGATATTCTGAACTTTCTTACTTTGCCAAATGAGATGGAAATGTACTTTCTTTTTGGAACAAGAAATTATGCTCTAACACCTTCTTTACAGAGGATATAGCATGATGGACTAATCCATCACCCTTCTTCAAACCATCACAGAACCTCCTGCTTGAAGTCACTCCTTCTTCGCCCTCTCTTTGACTTTTCGGCGAACGCTGATTGGTACCAAAGGGTTCAAATTTAGTCTCATCTGCCCTAAGCATCTTGTGCCACTGTTCCAAAGACGTGCATTTCACAGAAGCTAGCCTTTTTTTTTTAACATTTCTTGCTGCTACACTTCCACATATGTAACATTTGAAAGTGTACTTCTTCAAACTTTAATTTGTGAATTTCTTGTTAATTTTAGCAAAGTTTTTCGAAGTTCTCATTTGGTTCTTCAGGAAATTCATTTTAGTTACCTAATATCTCTTTCAATGAGCTTTGAGATTTGTTTTATTTATCCCTTACAGTGGTTCATGTTATAGATCCCTGTGTCTGTCCAATACGTTCTTCGCAGTATTTGGTGAACATATGAGTTCTTTGAAACTCCAACAAGAATTATGCAAAGATTTAATTGTGACTCTCTCAAAGAGTGTTAATTATTTCTGTTTTGGTAATTCAATGGAAACATCACACTATATTGACCGTACTTGGTGTTTTGAGAGGAAAAAGCTCACCTGTTTTATACCTACATGTACCTGCATGAAAAACTCGGAATATAAAAACTTGAATATTTTGTTGACTAGTACAGAAACTAAAGACAGGCCCCGGTATGGCCAGGTGGTTTGGGCGCTCGACTCGCAATCTGAGGGTCGCGGGTTCGAATCCCCGTCACACCAAACATGCTCGCCCTTTCAGCCGTGGGGAGGCATTATAATGTGACGGTCAATCCCACTATTCATTGGTAAAAGAGTATCCCAAGAGTTG